AGCGGTGGGTTTAACAACGACGACGAAGCAGCCTGGCTGCCAGGCGAAACGGGAGGGCACGCTTCAACCACGCTGCCAAAATGCAGGCAGCGCGTGGGAGCGCACTGAAGGGTCAGCAAACAACCTGGGGTGTCTGCGGGGGGGCAGAGCCACAGCTTCCAGCCGAGGGGCGACACCAGCGCAGAGAACAGGTAACGTCCTCAGCTCCTGGCCCACTCCCTTTCTTTTAAGCCCATAAAACATTAATTGGAAAAGAAAAAAAAGTCACCTTGGAGGCTTGCTCACCTGGCAGAGCTGCCTGTGCCAAAACCTCCCCGCTAGCAGTGCACACGGCCCCGCTCCACGCTCAGGCTCCTTGCCCCGACCTGCTCTGCCTGCGAGAAGCGGAGAGGAACCAAAATGAACCAGAAACGAAGGGTTGCTCACGTCCCTTGTCTGGCAGCGGTCTTCCTCCTGGGAGGATGAAAACCAGCAGCTATGATAACACCACGCCGCCATTTGGGGTGCGCCGCGGCCACATGAAGCCTGAGCAGAAGCGGTTATCAGTGGAGTCGGGGAGCCAGGTCCCAAGGAGAGCCTTCGGCTCTGCGGCTGCTTTGCAAAGCCCGGGGAGGGAGACGCATCAAAGCATTACGTGGGCAAAAGCGGGGCTTGGCTGAATTGCTCTGACCCCGCCAGGGGGTGGATGGACCCTGCAGGAAAGCTCTTGCAGCAAGCTGGCCCCGTCGTGGGACCAGCTCCAAAGTGGCCGGAGTCATGGCACTACCTGGAGGATTGTCCCCGTCAGCAGCAGAGAGGGGCGATCAAGGCAGACACCCCCGTTTCAACAGAGCCCTTTCAAGAGCAAAATTGGTCCAGAGATTTCGAAGTCTCCGCTGGCAGCACTTCCAGCGCTTCAGAGCAGAGGAGACCTCAGAGAAACCCTACAGCAGCCAAACTTGGCTTCAGCCCTCCGTCCCCCGGCTGACGCGCGTCCCCCCACGCTAACCCAGCTTCCTGCAGCAAGATCACAAGGTGGCTGGACGCATTTGGGAGGACTTGTTGGAAAACAAACACTTTGGTGACGACACCGTCTTTGTGTGCCCCAAACCGGCGTTCACCAGAGCCGCCCCCGGGCCCGGGGCGGCCGCTTCGCTCAAACGCGCGCAGCAGCAGCCCAGGGGCACGGCACTTACCACGGCGGGAGGGGACGGGGAACGCGTCGCACCGAGGAGGAGCCGAGCGGCGCGTGCGAAGCAGAGGAGGTCTGGCACAAGACTGGGAAACCTTTCTTACCCCCCGGGCCTGGAGACTGAAAAACAGTGAAGAACTGGGCAGATCCTTCCCGAGCTAACTCCTGCTGGCTTTTTCTGGGCAAAAATTGGGCAGAAAATGAACAGGGTGGGCTGCTCTATGCCCACCCGTGCCTACAGGCAAACCGTCTGCCAGCAAGAGGCACGGCCAGGGCCAAGGAGCTGCTGCTGAAGACCACCTGCAGGCAAGCTGGGGGACTCCCGCCCGCCCCCAGCCTCGCTAGAAACGTGCTTGTTTATTTAAACACACAGAATGGATGCGCAGGGGTTGATGGGGGTTCGTTGCTCTCATCCGAGTGCAGAAGAACAAAGGGATCACTGCCCTTGCTTGGCTTGTGCTCCTCAAAACCCTCCTGCCCCTGTACTTTAAGGGTCTTAAAACTTTCCCCACCCAGAAAGACTAAAAGCTGAATCGAGATGGATCTCAGCGACACCAAAGTCCTCCCTCTTGGCAAAGAACTTGGGTTCTGTTTGCCCAGGACTCAGACAATTGCCAGGTCCTTCTCCACCTTAAGCTGCCCTTCTCCAGCCCTTCTGGTGGAGATCCCTCTTTCAAATTTCAGTCTCCTGGAACCTGCGCTGCAGAACATGTTACAGATTACCCCTCCACACACAACCCAGGCTCCTGTCTGTCCTCCTGAAGACACCCTCAAACCAAACACCTCCACGTTCGGTTACAAGGCTGGAGAAGCTGGTTTCACCAGGAGAACGCAGGAAGAGCCGTTACCTCCGCTTGCTTCGATCATGGCAGTGCGACACCGGATTTCAGCTCTTTTACTGACTTCTCACTCCACGCTGGCAGAGGTCTGCGGTGCTCACCTCTCTGATGGGCATCAATGCTAAACGGCCACCGGCACCCCATCAGCACGAGCTTCGCCACCCAAGGCACCCAAGCACCAGTGCCCCAGGGCAAGGGGATGACGTACCTGGTGGTTCAGCCTCTAATTGGGAACAGGATTGCCCCTGGAAGCTGCCCAAGGATCTCAGCCCCGAAATGGAAAGCTGAAAAGGCAAGCATTCATGTTCAAAGTCTCCAGGAGACCACCACCACCCCTTGGCTACGCATCTCCAGAAAGAGAAGGCCAACAGCTCACTGTCGATGTTCCGTACCTGAGCGGCGGAGGGGAATCGCAGCTGAAGTGCTGGGCGGTGGGAGATCTGGGATCCCCAACCGTCAGCACAATGCTAAACCATGAGCGGTTGGACTCCACAGTGGGAGATCTGGGATCCCCAACCGTCACCTCAACGCTAAACCATGAGCGGTTGGACTCCACGCGCCGCCCCCTGCAGCGTTAGCGCCGTCACGAGCCATCACCCACCTCAGAAAGCTGGTGCTGGCGAGCAGGTACTCGGGGAAGGAGAACAAGGCAGCACAAGCGCCCCAGCCTGGAGTCAACACTGATGCACAACAACTTTGTCCGGTATCCATGCCCTCGATCCCCTCCTCCGGAGCAGGCAGCACCCGGCGCCACGTCCCCGCCTGCCCAGGCGTGCTCCGCAGGGCGGCACGCTTCACCAACACACCGCTCCGCCGGGCAAGAATGAAACCATGTTCAGCAAGACCCGTGCAGTAAGTCAGACACTACAATGCAGAATTCAGCAGGTTCCATTTAATGTCATGTGCATATCTCCATACATTTACTTATGGCAATGGTTTGGATGTGCGTGATGCCAGGTCTTGAAAAATCTACTCGTTCATTTGTGTCTGGGAGCGCAAATTCTCTCAAGCAATCGTCTCAGGGTGAGGCTGCTTTTTTTTTTTTAAAAAAATGGCTTTTCAACCCCATAGTTGCCAAGGTAATACCATGAATTGAAGGTAAAGCGTGCAGAGCCGAGCCCCAAAATTTGCAGACAGCTCTGCCAATGCTGTTGCCAAGGGTTTTGCCATGAAGCACGGGGTGTGAAGAAATCCTCTCCCCCCCAGGGAGAAGGAGAAGCGATCAGAACCGGGTTGGTCCTGCTTAGCATCCCAACAACAGCGAGGCACAGCGGCGGAAGGAAGAAACACCCATGGGCTCTTCAGGGAAGGTTTTGGGCAAGGCCGAGGAACCGGCAGAGAAGTGGAGAGAAACCATCACCCCGGGACCAGAAAGAAGAAGCGACACCGCCGCCGCCACCTACTCACGGGAACGCCGCCGCTCTCTGTTGTTGGCTGCTAAGGAACAGGACTGGCAGATCCCGGGGTCGTGGACATCCGCCCTGCGACGCGCTCCCTCCCAGCAGTTTGGGGGTAGATTTTTCAAGCCCTGGTGATGGCTCCCAGGAAGGCGCCTCCCCTCCGCTCCCGGACGCCCAGGATCTATTGCATAGCATTTATTTCAGATAAGGCACTGTTCTGCCCAACGCAACAGCAGTTCCAGATCAATGCAGTTTCCATACAGTCCACATTTGATGGCCTACAGTGCAATAACACATCAAATTAAAGGCAAGGTTTGGAAGAATAAACCCAGCTTTCAATTTAAACTGAATGTTAAAAAGATAAAGGAAACTACATTTTTCAAAAGCCTTTTTATTTTCCTTCACCGTTGTTGTTTTACAATACAAATATCACCTTGTGAATACACAAAAACCCTACAGAAGATAACTCTGCTTCACGTAAAATACAGAATGGATATATATATATTTATATATATATTTTCTCTTCTTCATTCTTTAAAAAAACTATTTTGTTCTGCACCTTGGCGAGTTTAGGACAGAATTCTTCCCCAGGCATACAGTACGTATGGCAGGAGCGAAACTCAGTTACATGCAGCTTCTGCACAAATATTTTAAAGAAATCGATCGTCTCTGTTGTTTTTCAACAACATCTCGGTACGGGATGGAGAAACCACTCGTAGTTCACTCAGTGATCATTTGTAAAATTCTAAAAAAACAGGAATTCATGGCTGTTTCTGTGGTTAAAAAGCAGCTACCGAGCAGCCAGTCGGGCGGCGCCTTTCCGCCCGGCCGGCCCACAATGCGTTAGCAAGGCCGGGGCACTTCCACCT